ACACTCCCAACTCAGCTCCTAAGTAGCAGCCATTATAGGCTTGAGCCAACAGTCATAAACTTCTTTTAGCATTGCTAATATTTTTTTGCATTTTTGATATATTTCACCACAAAATTAAAAACATAATAAAAGGCAAAAGAGTGAATTAAAAATCACTAAATTTATCAGCAGTATTAATTGAACCAATATTGCTGAAAGTAAAATTAACCTTAAATTTATTAGAAATGTACTCATATTCTCTCACTAACTATGGCAAATAGAATAAAAAAAGAACACATTGTTTCTCAAAAATGTTCAGTAATTCCTTCAAGACAAATAAAAGGATGATTAATCACTTTAATGGTTAAAAGGAAACATGGACATTAATTTGTAATTAAGATTTTATAGCATCTATTGTTTTATAGTACAATAACTCTCTTGGACATGATTTTATAACTGAAAACTTAATAGAGCAAGTAATTAGCATTTAGACTTTGCAAATTAAGAAAGTCTTACAAAACAACTGATATTAATATTTAAGTACTTCCTGTTTTGGAGTGTGGTATATTACTTAGAAATAAAACTATTTACACTTGTATGACTGCAAAAGAAATGAGACCTGTTGTAGTGCTAGTGGGGAGTTAAAGTGGATAAAGATTAAAGCCATGTAGTAGATGTTTAGTGTATCCATTTTAGTAACATCTAGGCAGCTGCTTTATGTAGTAAGCAAAGGGGAAAACTAAGCAAAACCTTAGAAAAATGATGCTTATCAATCCTTCTCAAAAAACTATCTGGGGAAAGCACTTTACTCGCTGAGCTGTCTCTCAAGTCTCCATCGTGGGATTTTTATTATAGAAATTTTAAAATGTGTACTGTACTTTGACTAAAAACATGAAAAGCCCAACCTACCCCAAGTATCTAACTAATAGATTAGAAGAAAAAAGGGAGAGGAAACTGGACATATGACTCAACCAGTAAATTACTTGCCATAAAAGCCAAGGACCTGAGTTTGATTTCTAGAGATCTTATAAAAGAAAGCCAAGAGACAAAGAAGTGATCTCAGGATGTGAAGAGCTTGCTGTGCATTAGGGCTCCCAGTACTCATATAAACACTGGGCGAGTCCATACTTCTCTAACCGCAGAGCTCAGAGGGCAGCAGAGACTCTTATCACAGGGATTGCTGGCCAGCCAATGTAGTCAAAACTTCAGATTCTAGGTTCAGTGAGAAATCCCATCTCAATAAAGTGTAGAGGGTTAGAGGAAGACACCCAGTATAAACTGGCATCTGAATGCATACACACGGGAAACTGTGCCATCCTACACATGTGCACACACCAAATACACAGACGCTTGAACATACAGTTGCGTATTTCATCAAAATAAAATGTATTGTGGGATGTGCTTGTAATTACAGCAGATCAGGAAGTTGAGAGAATGGCTTCTTGGGACTGACTGACCTAGCCAATTTAATGAGTTCTAGGTCTGTTAAAAAGTACGTTGGTAGTCTCTAAGGAATGATACTCAATCTTGTCATCTCATCTCCACACGACTGCTTACATATGTGCACTGCACCTGTATCAATACACATCTACATGCACGTACACATGAGGGAGAAAGGGAGGGATGGAGAGAGAGAACTTCTGTGTGTTTTTAACCATCTTTTCTGATGCTTTATTATCAACCAAGAACTACCTGTGGTTCATGCTTTGTCTGAATGAGAATGTTCACGACTTCCTCTTGTAGTTGTAGCACTTTGAATTCGTCTTGTAAAATTTATTTGTGTTTTCATGGACCTAACTTCTGACCATGCTCACATGCAGGAATATATACCACTCCTCGCTTGGTATTGCAGTTCATGATGTCTGCATTGCCATTAGCTCTGTGACTGAGAAAGAGCAGAGAGAGTCACCTGCTTTCCTTGGGATAGTGGAGTGATCAGGGTAAAGAATCACTGGACATGTGAACATGTATTGCTACTTTAAGACTTGAAATAATACAGTGACAATGGCACCACCAATCAAACACACCACGTAAGGTGTATTGTTTTTGTGTATTTCTCAATATGTATAATGGAGAAAAGACAGCACTTCTACTCATATTTTGGTTATGAAAAAAACCTTAGAGAATAATTTTCCCAGTACCACACAGCTAAAAATACAATGCACTAGTGGCAAAACTGAAACATGTTGCAGAAAGGCAAGTTCCTGAATTATCTTGCGGGAACACAGTCCAATTCATATACATACCCTGAGTCTGAACATTGCTGAAAATCCCCAATGCATGTTTTTCAAAAAAGTTAATTTATTGGCAAAATATGATCTGACATGAGACTTATGTAATGTCTTTACTTGTTTGTCTAAACGTGCTATAGAAATATTAATGCACAAGGTGTCCCTTCAGATGACCATTATGGTGGCATTACCCTTCTAATAGCTGGAACTTTTGTACTAAAATATGTCTCATTAAAAAAGCTTTTGGGTAAGGGATATAAACATGAAGTGAAATGGGAGAAAATTATAAAACATGAATATATGAAATTAAGGTGGTTTGTAAAGGACAGAGCTATCTTTTGTTCCCATGTAGAATTCCTTGTGCCTAGAAAAGCAGCTGACACAATGATCTTCAGTGTTCTGAATTGAAGGACATACGGTCCAAGATAGTATCAGTTCCAGCGGTATGGAGTGGAAGACGGAATGCACTGATGAAGAGCTAAAGGAAGAGAAGGGGGGCTTTCCTTGTTTCCATCTCCCAAACACATGAAGCAGAGCTGACCCATCTGTGGAGAAACCTATGTGCCATTCATCAGAATGCATCACAGGCAAACTCCTACCCCTTCTGATGTTAGTATGCATCTGGGACATTACAGTTGCATTGGTATGCATTTAGGACTTACATTGCAATCACGTTTTCAGTCCTCCTCCACTGGGAAGCCATACTCAAGGGCACAGCTGTTCTTCTTGGCTCAGGTGCCTTTGCTAGAGGTGTCTTTGCCAGGGACCCCACTAGAGTACTTTTAATTCTAGATCCATGCCTGGATCCTCTCTCTTTCTGACAACCATCTACTGGCTTATAAAAGACAAGACCTTTCGTTTCATGACCTCTCCGAAGTATAGGATTTATACACTGTGTACTGCCCCACATACTCACATGTTCTGAGCTCACGTTGTTCTTCAAGAGCAAGAGTTATGGGGATGAGGGCTACTTCTGACTTTCTCAGTGCTTCTGCCTGAACTGCACAGTGAGTGAATAGCTTGCCTGTGAGTTTCATTGGTTCCTTGTCCTCGTTGACAACCTTGTCTCCTAGATCTCAATGCTTGTTTCAGACCAACCTTTGTGCTCATATTCTGGATCTTGCCTTCTCCCTCACTATGATCCCGTTGCTGTTGTCTTATTTATGGCATGGTTTAAACCTCACTCTTCCATACAGCCCTCAGTCTAACATCTTCTCTCACCACTGGCTCCTGTGATGGCTGGGCTTTATCAACTTGACACAAACCTAGACATATCTGGGAATAGGGAATCTTAATTGAGAAAATGCTTCCATAAAATGGGCCCGGAGGCAAGTCTTTGGGGGGGTATTTTCTTTAATAATGATTGATGTGGGAGGGCTCTGCTCACATGTGGGCAGTGCTACCCCTAGAATGGTGGTTCTGAGTACTATAAGGACAGACTGAGCAAGCCATGGGGAGTAAGCTAGTATGAAGCATTCCTTCATGGATTTTGTCTTAGTTCCTGCCTTGCATCCCTTTCTTGGCATCTATTGTGAACTGTGAACTGGAATGTGTAAACTCTTTTCTCCCCTAGTTGCTTTTGGGTATGATACTGAATAAAGCAATAGAAACTGTGACCAACACAGTTATCAACTACTCTTTCTCTTTCCTCTGAAAACACATTCATAGTAGACCTTTTGCACTTTCTGTACAAACAACCTGGTAGCTACATCATCTTCTCACTCAGGATTATCTGATCCAATAAATCTGGACTTTTCCATCCTGGTCATGGGTCTTCCTCTAGAGTTCTAGGGTGCTATGTGCCTACAAAGATGTGTGTTTATTTGCTGGTTTCTCCCCTCAACTGAGAGGTTTGGAGGACCTAAATTTAGCTCTGTCTATATACTTGGTATGATTACCATTTACTGATTTGTTATAAGTTTGCAACAAATGGATGTATGAATAAAAAAAATCTGTAACATAAAAGGCTAAATTCTAACACTTATAGCTAAGTAACAAATTTTAAACAAAAATTATTTAAAATCTATCTTATTAATACCTCCATTAAAAGCATAAAACTTTCTATGACCAAAGCTTAATATAAAAGACCTTATTTTACCTTGTTTTACTCCATGATTCTTTTTCCCACAAACATCGGTCTTATTATTTCTATCTTTGGTCAAAACACATAATGTTTTGTCTCAGACACCCGTACTGTTATGTTTATCGGTATACAATGGTCCTCTTAGTCAGGGACTAAATCCTAAGTTCTGTTTATACAGTTATTTATTGTTACTTGTTACTTTTTCTTACCCCTTGTGAATTTTAACACAAATGCAGAAGTCTGATTACCTAGTAAAGTCATTTCATATTTGAAGTCTCTGAATTACATAGACAATTCCAAGTTTGTTTTTAATAGACACAACATAAAAAGAGGAACTATAAAATAAGTCTAAAATAGGTTACATCTCACAAAATGGATACTTTAGTTAAAATTTCTGCTACATTGTAAATCAGTCACGAATGACCATTGCTCCTATTTTCTTTTTTTTAATGTTTTGTGGTATCCAAAATATTATTTCCAAAATTTTAAAATTGATATGTGATCTGGTGGTGCTGAAAATGTATTTAAATAACTTTACTCTGAAGAAGAGACTAATCAAAATATTAAAATTTAATAATTTAAAATTTTATTAAAGATATTATAATTGTTTTGAATCATACTGAAATAAATTTCCCTTGGTGTTAATTATCATTGCTAAAATAAGAACAATGGGTTAAACTGGTCATTGAAAATGTGGAGAATCTCACCCTTGGAAACGTGGTGAATCTGTCCAGTTCTTCAACGAAGCAGAACATCTGCAGGCTGATGGCTGACATGACAATCAACAGACTGGCAGTGAACACCACCAAGCTTCCAAGCTTCTTCCCAGGACCAAATATCTTATACACAAAGTCTTCCAATGCAGGTGAAATTTTAATAAGCCGGACTACCCGAAGAACCTAGTCATGGAAGAAAAAGCATACATGCCAGATAAAGAATTTTAAAGAAATCCATACTAAAATATAATTTTTCATAGTACTGTGTAAAATGTCATAATTTTCCATTTTATCTAGAGACTAAAAATAATAATAATTTAAGGTAACTAAGACATCCCCAGAGTGTGGTCTGACATATAGTGAGAACACAGTAAATCTCAAATCAGTGAGTAAGGGCAAACATTACCAACTGTTTAAACACACAATACGAACATTCAAAAATGGTATTAACTAGTACATACTGTTGACATAAAACTAATATTTTCCCAGTTCTTAATACCAAAGAAAACATTTAATTCAGCATTAGTTTACTTGATATCTTCTGCAATAAGCCTTCCTAGGTATCACACATCATAAATGGGGAAAATCAAACACCTATCAAGGACAGGCTCAGACTCCTACTCTAACATCTGTTTTCTCCTTCTTCCTTTAAATAGATTCTACTGGGTTTTAGCCAAGTAATTCCCCAGGGCAACAGACTCTACTTTCTAGCCCTTTCTTCTGTACTCTGTAGCTGAGTGTTCCTAACGGTCTAGGTTTAAGCTTACCAAGAAAACAAGAGACTTGTGCATATAGACATGGTAAATCAAACATGCCCTAGATATATTTATTATATTTATTTTCTCTTTCTCTGCCTTAAAAATAGAAACAGGTGGAATGGTACCTATAATACAAATTGAAATCATGGAAAAGACTACAAAAGGTCAGATCTAACCTAACAGGCTGGATCTTTTGAGGACCTTGTGGAAACAAAGCACCGGTTTTACCTGGGTATTTACCAACTGCTTAATTTGTCATCTCTACTCTACAGCTGTTATGTATTATACTACATATTTATTTGGAAGGTATTTGCAAATCTAAACCCAAAGACTAATAATAAATTAGCTTTTAAATTTAAATATTAATTATGTGTCAAACTTATTAGGTAATACTATTTTATGGTACCATTACTAAAGAGCATAAAGCAGATGAAGCTCTGAGGAGAATATAATTAAGAAATATAAATTGAGGGCTTGAAATATAGATCCATGGTTAAGAGTATTGTATGTTTCTGTGAAGAACTGGGCTCAGTTCCCAGCACCAACATCAGGTTGCTATAACCATCTATTACTTCCGTTCTAGAGTATCAGACACCCTCTCCTGGCCTCCACAGGCACTAGGCATACATGTAGCACACATATACACATGCAGGCAAAACATTCATGTACATAAAATAAAATAAATAAACATTTTTAAAATTATAAATTGGCATTTAATAAAAAGCTGACATAAAGATGAAATTTTCCACTAAGCGTAAGTTATTTTTCAAGTACCTCCAAGGAATAAATAAAAATTTTGTTAGTTAATATGTGACAGGCCATAGACCATAAGAGGTATCCCAAGTTTAGAAATACTAAATCTATAAACTGTATTTATACATATATTAAACCAGCAGAAACAAAACATCATACATAGAAGGATAGTTCCAGATGGCTCAGCATCCAGAGGAGGCAGGCTTGTCTGGAAGAGATGGATATCATATTTGCAATATTTTAAAAATGAGATATTAATATTTTAAACATGTATAATAACTTATTGGTTGTTGTTTTTCTAGTGTTCCTATCTTCTGATGCTTTCTGACTTTTCTTTGTTAAATCATTTTTGCTGTATGCTTAATCCATGAGGCTTAGGCGGAAGCTCACAGTTTCCATGCCACAGGCCTGGCAAGAATATTCAGTGACCCGAGCTATCCTCAGGAATTTTGTAAGGACCAAGGAAGGCTCTAGCTTCTTGGAAACCATCTTTGTGTGGAATAAGTCTACTTAAGAAAGAAGTCAACACAAAGTAAAGTAAAGAAATAGGTAGAGTCCTCAGGAAACCACGCAATTGTCAGTCTCTGAATTCTGCCTTCTATGAAGCCTTACCTACTTCCCTAGATTTCTATATAACAGGGAACACTGGTGGTGAACCTTATTGCCCCTACTGTGAGAATGGATGCACAATGTGCAGTATGTCAAATAAATGAACTGCATACATGACTGAATACGTTGTGAGGAAGCATACTCAAAATCTTAATGTTGTGTGGTCTAACTGCTAGCTACTTTCTGTAATTGCTGACACATTTCCCGCCTGCCGTTCAACTTGTGGCCATCCCTCTATCTCTGGAAGGCTGGGATCACATGCCTGGATGATATTCTTCTTAACTTGATTAATAGGTTTATTCAAAATACTTCATTGTTTTCACTATCAGGCTTATCATCTATAATTATGACCCTTAACATGGGCATAATTAAAATGTTCATGCCGATTGTTCATATCCAGATAACCGTGTCCAAGAACAACCAATGATGGGCGTGTTCAGTGTACTAGACAATGGTCTCTTGTTAGGACTAAAGATTCTCTCAACAAAACAAGTTAAAGAGAGAAAAGATTTATTTTGGCTCACATTTTGAGAGGATTTACTCCATCATGGTGACTTAATCCCCTGCATAACTAGACTATGTGATGTTACCACCTAGATGGCATCTTAGCTAATTCTCTTTGGTAACATTCTCACAGACTCACAGGCATATGCAGAGTGTGCCTTATTAATACACTAGTTAGATCTCAGTCTAATCAAGATGATGGTCAAGAATAGCTATTATATTATATATGCATGTTTATTCACAGAGATTTCAAGATACATTTAAAATTCTTGAACAAACTACTCCCTAAAGAGTAAGACAGACCCTGTAAGTGATAAGATATTTATATCCAAAGACAATATGGAAAAGCCAGAGCCATCAAAGCACCTTGTGATCTTAATAAGTTTGGTTCATAAAAGTCCAGTTGTAGGTCTGGGCTTGAGGGTACCTGTTTTTAATTTTTGCAGACTATAGCTTCATGACCTTTTCTGCAGTTCTGCGTTATAAGTTGTATTATGAAAGCTAGAGTTACTAGTTTTTCAAATACAATGGATTTACTATTACTAATACGTAAAGTCATGAAGTCAGAATATATTTTTTCTAAGGCAGTGGTTCTCAACCTGTGGGTCACAACCTCTTTGTCAAATCTCTGTCTCTAAAAGTATTTCATTATGGTTCAAAACAGTAGCAAAATTTTAGCTATAAAATATCAGCAAAATTAATTTTATAGTTGGGGAGTCACCATAACATGAGGAACTGTATAAAGGAGTTGAAACATTAGGAGGGTTGAGAACCACTGAACTAAGGAATTAATATCCTATTTCTCTAAGTTAAAACTTAAAATTCTGCTGTCATTTTACTCCTCAATTATTTAAAATATCTCTTCATAAAGTATTAGTATATATTTTGATATTTCCATGATAAATTATATAAATTCTTGTCAGAAATTTGACTGCATTTGAAATGTTTTTGATTAGACTTCTCATGTATTTTAGTAATCACTTTACCATAAATTTAATAGCACAATGAGCACATTATAATATGAAAAGATTATTAAAATGTAATTAATAATTAACATTTATTAATTACAAAGCAATGCTATCCAAAACAGCATGTTTGAAAAAATATACCATTGTTATGAATGAATAATTACAAGTACCATTATTTAGTCATCACAAAACAAAAAAGTAAGCATTTGTAAGTAATAATGTAAGATAAATTAAAATCTGTGATGACAAATTTTGCAACCATTAATGAATCCATTGTAAACTATGATTCAATAAGAACATTTATAAACAAGGTAGACACTTGAAATAAACTCATATCTCCTCTGTTTATTTTAATTTATTTATATATTTTACATCCCAACCATAGTTTCCCCTTCTCCTTTCCTTGCATTCCCTCCTTGCCCCCTGCACTACTCAATCCATTCCTCCTTTGTTTCTGTTCAGAAAGGGGAATGTCTCCATCCAACAAAGTATGGCATATCAAGTGGTGCCATAAGCACCTCCTCTTGTATTTAGGCTGAGCAAGGCAATATACAGTATGAGAAATAGGTTCTCAAGTGTCAGCCAAAGCATTAGGGACAGCCCCTGCCATTGTTAGGAGTTCCACAAATAGACAAAACTACACAACTGTCACATATATAGAGAGGACTTAGGTTGGCCTCGGGCAGGCTCACTGGTTGTTGATTCAGACTCTGTTCCTATGGACCTATGGTTCCTATGGACCAGGTTAGTGGTTTTCTGTGTGTTTTCCAATGATGTCCCAACCCTTCTGTCTCCTATGATCCTTTGTCCCTCTCTTCAGCAGGATTCCCTGAGTTTGGCCTAATATTTGGCTGTAGGTCTCTGTATTTGTTTCCATCAGTTATGGATGAAGGTTCTCTGATAACAATTGGGATAATCACCAATCTGATCACAGGAGACGACATCAACTGCTGCCAGGGGTCTTAATTGGGGTCGTGTTTGTAGATTCATGGGGGTTTCCCTTGCATCTGGTTTTCACCTGTCCCTGAAAAGCACCCCATACCCCCGTCATCTTCAGTACTCTCCAGTTCCATCCACCCCCAATCTGATCTTTCAAGTTCCTATTCCCACCCACCCCAAGTCCACTCAGGATATCTTTTCCATTTCTCTTTTCCAGGCAGATCCTTGCATCATCCCTTAGTTCCTCATCTCTACCTGGCCTCTCTGTGTCTGTGGATTGTGGCATGGTTATTATTTATTTTACAGTTAATATCCAATTATGAGTGAGTATATACCATGTTCTTTTTTTTTAGGTCCAGGTTAACCTTACTCAGGATGTTTTTTTCTAGTTCCATCCATTTGCCTTCAAATTTCCTGCTTTTAATAGCTCAATAATACTCTATTGTGTAAATATACCACTTTTTTAAAAAAAAATTAATTCTTTAGTTCAGGGGCATCTAAGTTTTTTTTTTGTTCTAACTATTACAAATAAAGCTGCTATGAACATAGTTGATCAAGTGTCCTTTTGGTATGACTGATGCCCAGGAGAAATATCACTGGGTCTTGAGGTAGACTGATTTCCAATTTTCTGAGAAACTGCCATGTTGATTTCTAAAATGGTTGTACAAGTGTGCATTCCCACCAGCAATAAAGGAGTGTTCCCTCTGTTCTACATCCTCTACAACATAAGATGTCATTAGTGGTGTTGGTCTTAGTCATTCTGACAGCGGTAAGGTGGAATCTCAGAGTTGTTTTGATTTACATTTCCCTGATATCTAAGGATGTTGAACATTGTTTTGGGGGGTTTTGTGATTTAAGATTCTTCTGTTGAGAATTTTCTGTTTAGGTCTGTATCCCACTTTTTTATTTGAATTATTTGGTTTTTGATGTCTGGTTTCTTGACATATATTATTTATTTAGTTAGTTTATTTATATATTTTGGAGAACAGCTGCTGTGGGATATTTGAGCAAACTCTGTAAAGATGTGTTACTATTTTACCTTGCCTGCCTAAGCCACCTGACTGGTTTCATAAAAAGCTGGACAGTCAATAGCTAGGCAGGAGAGGTTAGGTGAGAGACATCTCTTCAAGGTAGAGAGATGAGTCAGGGGTATGTTATGCTTACATCTGTAGTTCCTCTTCACTTACCTAGGTTTTCCATTTCCAGAATTCCCTCAGTTTGTATTTTCTTTACTGTTATTTAAATTTTCAGGTCTTGAAAAGTTTGTTTGTTTCTGTCAACTCCCCACCTTCTGGGTACATAGCAGGTCAATGTCACTATTAAGCAACCAGTAGCACACTGATCACAAACCCCATTTAAGTGCAGCACTTCTTGAAAGAGCCAAAGTTCAGGCTGCCATCATGAATCAGCAAACTGGTTCTTAAAGGAGCCACACAGTTTTTGCTGCTAATGCTGAGACAGGAAGCCTTCTCTTAAAGGAATCATGCTTCTGCTTCCCACCCAAGAAAATGCTGCTACCAAGAATCCATGCTTAATTCTGTTCTTTAGTCTCTAGAATTTCTACCTAAGCTCTCTCAGGTTTTATGTGTATGTAGTTGCCTCATGTTGGGTGCCATTTGTAAACAGAAACCGGTTCCTAGGCACCCAGACCCAAATAATCACACAGAAACTAAATTAATTGCAACACTGTTTGGCCAATGACTCAGTTGTATTCCTAGCTAGCACTTACATTTCAATTTAACCCATTTCTATTAATCTGTGTATCACCATGAGGCTGCTGCCTACTGGTAACATTCCAGAAGTGTCTTTCTCACTCAGCAGCTATATGGCATCTCTTTTATTCCACCTACTTTCTCTATATATCTCTTCCAGCCTGGCTATACTCTACCCTGCCATAGGCCAAAGCAGATTTATTCATTGACCAATAAAAGCAACACATATACGGAAGGACATCCCACATCATTTGTTTGTTTTTTTCTTGTTTTTCTTGACATTTAAAAAGATTTATTAATTTCTTCAATTTTTATTGTATTTTCCTCTATTTCTATAAGGGATTTTTTTTAAAAAAATTCCTCTTTAAGGACCCCTATAATTTTCATAAAGTTTGTTTTAAGGCCATTTCCTTATGGCTCAGTTGCATTGGAATGTTCAGTCCATGATGTTTTAGGGATCTGGGTTCTAGTGGTGACATGTTGCCCTTTCTGCTATTGACTATATTCTTACACTGGCATTTATGTGCTTGGATATGGGACTATGATAGGTCTATGCATTGATTCCTGTGTTGCTCTCTGTTGGATGAGTGTTTCGCTCTTTTATTTCTGTTTCCTCTTTGATCTTTTGGTCTATGTGGCCAAGGGTTCTAGTGACTGGTGAGTCTTCAGGTCCAGTAGTGTTTCTCTGTTGGAGATTTGAGGCCTTTGAGTCTCTTGATCTAGTCTGGCCTCTGGTAAAGCTGAAATTCTTCTTGGGTCTCTAGATCCAACCCAGCCTCCAGTAAAGCCTGAGTATTCTTCTGGGGTACATAGGACCAGTCTGGTTTCTTATAGAGGTGCTGGGGCTGTTCTTACAACTGGTATAGACTGTGTCTGGGCCCATGGAGTCTGCTGGAGTTCTGGGGAAGGGCTGTTTGTGCACTGGTAAGGGTGGTTGTGGCTGGTGTGGTCTGTGCTTCAGCGGTAGAAGTCCATTAGAGTTGGGGACAGGGCCCAGCAACAGTTGGGTCAGAAATTAGTAAGGTTGATATTGGCCTAGGGTAGGGTCTCAGGGGACAGAATAGAGGGAGGGGTACAGTTCTGCTGGCAGGTACGTCACTCACCCATTCTGACTTGTGTGGTCTAGTCCTGCTTGGCAGAAGTCTTCTGGGATTGGGGTGGGCACAGCAGAGGAGCCTGAGGATAGCAGTGACAGCATGGACTTGGGGAAGGGTTACAAGGGACAGAATCCATGGAGGAGTGCAGTCACTCACCCTTTCTGGTAGGTGTGGTCGATGCCTCAGTGGCAGAAGTCTACTGGGACTTCCTCTAAAAGTTTATGCCACCATCTTACTTGGTTTAGAAGTTGGTATCTATAGATAGATATATGATAAACATATGTATCCAAGTGTGCATGTCTGTAGTCACTAACTGGGAACATGTCACTTTGAGGAGGTTTTTTGAGACGGCATAGGAGTAGTGAGGCGTCTGGTCCATTAGCTGTGGAGGAAGTTCAGCTGGGTGCTTTCTCCGCCTCCCTGAGCTATCAGTCTTACTCTAGTATCCGGTTCCAGAGTTTTTACTGATAAAGATCAAACAATCAAGATTTTGTTAACAGTAAAGCAGTTTTATTAAAGATTTGTATATATTACTGTGAATTCTAAGGAATTTAAATCAGTGTTTATAATTTGTTACTGCACTATTTCTGATGATTAAGATATCACTGAAACCCCTCAACATCATGTTACAATGTACATATATATTATTGATTTTATGTAGTTGTAATGGTAAATGATTTCCACTTTTCTGGGAAATGGGCATTAGCTGTCTTACCTGGAAGTATGTGAACTGAGAGTGATAAAGATCTGGATACACATGGAGGGTGGTCCCAATAACAAGCAGGAGTTCAAACTTGTGGAGAGATGAGCTGATGTAGCCAGTAAATCCCAGGCACCATATCTTTAGAAGTGCTTCCAGATCAAAAAGGACTGTAAAAGCCACCTGGGTGAACAAGAAGACACCAAGATTGACATTTAAGACTGTATATTCCCAATTTCCTCATATATTTATGAAAAGTGAGTTCTGGCCACTGTAATAAACCAAAAAGCCTCACAATGTCAAAGATGACATTTTATATTTATAAAATTTTTATGTATATGTATGTATACACATATGTGCATATGACTGTAGTTGCCTGCAGAGGCCAGAAAGGCATCACATCTCTATACATCTTGAGTTACAGGCAGCTGTGAACTGTGAATGTGGGTGCTGGGAACTGAAGTCTGTTCCTCTGTAAGGGTAGCCAGAGTCCTTAACCACTGAATTATCTCTCCAGCCCTAACATGTTTTTTAAAAAGATATACTTGAAACACATCAGTTAAAACATAAGAGACTAAAGCTAAATTAGACCATCAGAAAGATCATTGATTCATCTAGATTTTGAGGCATATAACAAGCAGAGAAATTGAGAATCTATACCAAGTAAGAAATTTGTATACATAATTTATATATTTTAAAAATCTTTCACATAAATTCCAATATTAAAAATAACAATACTATAAAGTGTACAAATGTAGGTAGCATGTTTTTCCATTCTTTACCTGCTCAGAGGGTGATACTTCTTATTTTATAGAAATAGGTTATAATTGGAATTAAAATAGGCAATACAGTATTAACTTCTAACTAAAGGACATGAAACTGAATATTGGGATTAGTTATAATTCAATAGTGTCTCAGCATACACTATAAAATTGTTAAAAATTAAATCCCTTTATTTCTGTGCCATTATGGAATACAAAAAAGGATTTTATTCTACTCATATTTGGAAAATGTAGAGAAATGGAACTATAATAATAACATTAAGAAATGGAATACTTGTGGTGGTGGTGCACACATTTAATCCTAGAACTCAGGAGGCAGAGGCAGGCAGATCTCTGTGAGTTTGAGGACAGCCTGATCTACAAGAGCTAGTTCCAGGGCAGCCTCCAAAGCTACTCAGAGAAACCTTGTCTCAAAACATAGAAACAAACAAACATTAAAAGAAATGGAATACTAGAAGCAATGCAGATTGTTAATTTAGATATGCATAAGGATTTGGATGTTTTTGAAGGCTACCATGTCTGTAGATTCAATTTGCTTTCTATTTTTGCTGGACATTTCCACACTATGAACACTCAAAAAAGGCAAAACATTTTCATTTCTAGCTGCATTTTAAATACTATCCTTATTCCCACAATAAGTTTAGTTCTCATCTCTCACCAAAGATGATTCTATGTATAGCAGATAGAGAGCATTAGAGAAATCTACAACTAGTCAAAATGTAGAAAAATACTAACAGAGATTCCCAGACCCAACTGCTACATCTGCAACATAACCCCACACTGAAGGTTCAAAGAACTGAAAGACTGTAAGAGCCATTGGACCAGAAAGTCTACTTGGAGACAGGGTCTTCTATCTTTGACAGGAAAACTGCACCCATGAAACTGCAGCAATATTGGTGCTTAATATAAGGCCAGCACAACAATGCCGGCTGACATGCAAATATGGGTGGGGAAAATCTCACAAGACCTCATGCTTAAGAACTACAGATGATTAATGACTGAGAGAGGGAAAGTAGATCTTCTGCAGTGATAGATTACCTACGCTCAATGCATATACACATAAGAGCAATATTAAACAGACTAAGTTACACACACACACAATACACACACACACATACACACACACACACGCCTGTAACAATAATTAACTCTGAGATAATTTTAAGAACACAAGATAACGTGAATTAGCTCTTTAGTTCACCTTTGTCAGAGGTTTCTGTTAACACACGGTGTTCTTGTCTCACTATCTCCATGCATGCAGGCCTTGCATTCTAAATGTCACTGTGAAAGTTGCTTTTCTCCTTCACACACATCCTATCCCTCCAGATTACAGGAAAGTGACCTAACTCACTTTGGTTCATCTGCATAATTTCCCATGGTGTTTATAACTTATTCCACTTAATATTCTCCATTTTACTTCACCGAATGAAAGCACTTGAAGGGATTATTAGGCAGACACAGCCAAACACTTCTGTTTATCCTCCTACACATCAGCAATTGAATAAAATTTTATTTAGCTTCCAAGACTGTGGACAGGCTGTCTTTCTCCTTCACCATTCTGCCTTAAACTTAATTACAAATGTGTGCTACCTTGTCTGTTTTATTGAGGATTTACACATATAAGTAGGCTTTCACAGTTGGCATTATGGGAGAGGGAACAAAACCAGATTTGTATGTTTTAAAGTTTGGAAAGTAAAAGATCATTTCCAAAAATATTTATAATAAACCACTTGCCTCCGAGAAATGTTAAAAAGTTACTCTTGTCTCAAAACTTTGATCAGCAGTAGCACAGTCAGATATAATGCTTCTCATGCATTAATGTGTGTATTTATATCTTAGAGTTAATTTCTTTTAAAATTAATTATATTTTACTGTTCATAATCTTGTCAATGTTCTATGGTGTTATTTTGTGTTTCTTATCAGTTTTGAGTTTTTTTATATTAAAGTCATTAATCTTTGTCTACTAAATGTACTGAATATATTTAGTTTATAGCTCACAAGTTTGCATTATAAATTTTACACTTTCATGTCCTTTTACCTTTAAATGTTGTTCTAGAAGATTGCCTTTGAAGTGGTGTGGTGGCTTGAGCCTGTAATTCTAACACCAAGGAGGGAGAGGCAGGAGTCACCTGAGACCCTATCTCAAAATAACAGATGAAGTGTGCAACATGGAGCTGCTGAAAATAGTAATCAGCAAGTCAGAACCATATTATGTCATCCTATTTATCTGGACCATATTCTATAGTCTTTTTTCTCATATTTATGAAATATATATGTGCACATATATGTGTACAAGTGCCCACGGGGTTCAGGAAGGTCAGCAGATACCCTGGAGCTGGAATTGCAGGTGGTTGTGAGTTGATGTGGGTGCTGGAACTGAACTCTGATCCTTTGGAGCAGCAACAGGTGCTCTTATTTATTTCTTTTTATTTAATTTTTTTCCTTTTACATGCCAACTCTAGCTCCCCTCCCTCCTTGTCTCCTTTCTCCCACCTCACTTCCCTTCCCACTCCTCATCAGCTACTCAGAATGGATAAGGCCTCCCTCGGGGAGTCAGCAAAGTGCTCTTAACCACTGAGTACTGTAGGCGGACTTTTCTTTCCTGCCTACCAGTTTCCAAATAACAGACATGGAGACTAAATAATTATAAATGCTTGACAGAAAATTCAGACCGTTTACTAACTAGTTCTTCCTAGTTCATAAATTAATCCATTTCCATTAATCTATGTGCTGCTCCGAGGCTATTTTACTTCATCCATGAACTTTATATTGCTTCTTTCACATCTAGCTAGAACTCCTCTGACTCTGCCCTTCTTCTCAGCATTCTGTTTGACTCTCCTGCCTAACCAATCACTGTGTACCCTGTTCAGCTATTGGTCCATCATCTTTTTTATTAAACCAATCACAGTGACATATATTCACACAGTACAAAGGAATATTCCACAGAATACTCTCTAGACACAAGGTTTCACCCACTTAATACACTTTATGTGATGGTTAAATTTCAAGAGAACAAAAAAAAAGCTAAATATTAGGGGTTAAATATTAGGTCAAAGGCTTAATCTTAGAGGATGAGAAATGACAGAATACTGGGAAGAGACATGAGTTAGGGTTATGAGAGAGCTATAGGCTACTTTTTCCTAATCCTGTCAAGGTTTTGATGTTGTTGCCTTTGTTTTTGGTGGTAGATAAGAGGCTTGGTTAAGGTTTCTATTGCTGCAATAAAATACCATGACTAAAAAGCAAGTTGAGGAGGAAAAGGTTTATTTGATTTACACTTCAGTATTGCTGTTCATCACCAAAGTCAGGACTGGAACTCAAAAAGGGCAGGATCCCAGAGACAGGAACTGATGTAGAGGTCATGGATGGGGGCTGCTTACTGGCTTGCTTCCCATGGCTTGCTCAGCCGACCTTCTTAGAAAACTCAGGACCATCAGCCCAGGGATGGCACCACTCACCGACTGGGAAAGTCTCCCTTGGTCACTAAATGAGAAAATGTCTTACAGCTGGGTCTCAGCTGAGACTCCTTCCTCTGATGACTCTAGCTTATGCCAGTTTGATACACAAAACCAGCCAGTTCAACAAGTACATAAAGTATATATTTGATAGTAAAAGCATAAAACACAATGTAAAAGTTCACAGTTTCAGAATGGCTATTTTAACTGTTCATTGAGGTGTGCTGACTTTGGGTTTGGAAAATTGAAAAGAAGAACAAAAAGAAGGAGGAAAAGGAGGGAAGGAAGAGAGAAAGAAAGAAAGAGAAAAGAATGGAGGAAGGAAGGTGGGAAGAAAGAAAGAAAAAGAAAAAGAAAGGAAGGAAGGAAGGAAGGAAGGAAGGAAGGAAGGAAGAGAGAAAAAAGAAAGAGAAAGTTGAGGAAGCTATGGAGAACAAGCCAGTAAGCAGCATTCCTCCATTTTATCTGCTTTGGTTTCTGTCTCTCCTCTTGCTTGAGTTCGTGCTGTTGCTTCCCTAGATTATGGACTGTAACCAGTATGAATAAGATTAAATAGGTGCCCCGAAAAAAGGTATATCTTGTTTGCTGTCATTATAAGAGAATTTATTAATAATCTTAGTAATGTACATTCTATGATTTAAACCTTGTATATTATTACTTAGACTTTTAAAATTTTATTATAACACATATGACATCTAATATATACCACAAAAGACATTCTTGTCTTCAATAAAATTACCAATAATGGATCCAGATTTTAAAAATTAAATGATGTGTGCATATGGGACATGAAGGAAAATATACACATAAAACAAAAAAAATAAATTACAAAAACACTTCAAAAATTAAATAAATTATTGTTAAAAAGATAGTACTATATTTTCTCAGGATAGTATATATTTTGCTCAAATAATGTATAGTTGAACTCATGTGGCTAGTAAGTTGA